AATTTCAACGCCAAACTGGGAGATTTCGGGTTGGCTCGACTTGTTGACCACGGGAAACAATCACAAACCACTATTCTGGCTGGAACCATGGGCTACATGGCTCCTGAATGTGTCACCACAGGAAAGGCTAGCAAGGAAACAGATGTTTACAGTTTTGGAGTTGTTGCTTTGGAGATAGCTTGTGGGAGAAAACCCATTGATCCCAAGTTGGGAACAAGTAAAATCAACATGGTAGAGTGGGTTTGGGAGCTTTATGGACAAGGGAAAGTCATTGAAGCAGCTGACCCAAAATTGTGTGGGGATTTTGATGAGAAACAAATAGAGTGCTTGTTGATTGTTGGGTTGTGGTGTGCTCATCCAGATTACAAGATCAGGCCTTCGACACAACAAATCATTCAAGTTCTTAGTTTAGAAGTTGCGCCGCCTATTCTTCCATCAAAGATGCCAGTAGCCAGCTACTTTTCTCCTCCGGTATCATTTTCAATCTTGTCCGGTGATGTTACTGGTTCTGAAAGGGGTCAAACAGAGTCTTCAAGTTATGGTTACAACACCAATTCATCACAGTTCACCTCATCTTCCGCTTCCAATTCTACTCCATCAGCTTCACTTTTGTACACAAATTAAATTTATACTTAATAATTGTGTTATTCAAATTTATTTTTTTATTTATATTTATATTTGAATTCTTTAAGTAGATATGCACATAATTTATCAATTATATATAGTATAATGAAGAGACGATATGCACTTAACAATTGTGGCATATCTGTTTCTTCTACTATTGAGGTCTATAATTTATCAATTATATATAAGGGGACTTCCAGATTAGTTTACAATTCCAACCCTTCTCAATGATGCTCGTTTCATTGCACTTTTCTGAAGGGTATGTCAGATCATGAAAGTCCTCTCCATGAAAAGTTGTGGTTTGAATTGGTAAACAAGGGCTGCTGCGCGTCTATTTTAGATCACAATTTGATCTGTAAAGCTTACCTACTCTCTCGGAATATTCACTCTCCCAAAAGAAATTAGAAATGGCAAAAATCAAGAACTCAAAACGATCCAAGCCAAAATCGATTTTTGCAGTTTTTCCAGCTCGGTTCGATTCATCAATTTACCGGTTTAAAGGCCCACTCCTAACTTAGGTGTTCCAAGCCCAACTTAATGGATCATCGTCATTCAAGGTAGGTACAAAAGCCCAATCTAGCCAAAAGTAAGAAAAACTAGCGGGCAAAACATTTCTTAACTAATATAACTGACCTTCTAGATTCACAAAGGTCCACGTGGACTTAACCCGCATTTGAAAACAAAAAAATAAATCTTAATTAAATTGGAAGAGAACATGAGTTTCCTGTTAAAATATGAATATGGTTTGAATACTTTAGGTTAAGTGCTAGTTTGACATTGCTTATTTGGGGTGATAAGTGATTTTAAAAAAAATTTGAGAAGCCCAACCCGTTTGGTAAATTGTGAGAATCAATTATTGTTAAAAATTGATGTGAGAGAAAGCTATAAGGGAAAGCAACTAATGAAGTGCTTTCATTTTTTGATTATGCAGGAATCAGTTTCGAAGAGACGCTGGGTTTAATGATTATGCAGCAATCATTTTCTAATTATGCGTAAAATCAATACCAACAACACTTTTAACAAAAATTTTACCAAACGCCAAACTACTTTATTTCACAGCTGATTTCTCTCACAGCAAATCTGATATCGATTATTTTCACAGCACAGCAATGCCAAACTGGCCTTAAGTTGTATTCTTCTTCATAAGTAGGTATATATAAGACTTTACATGAGTGCTTTACAAGGAAATAGATACAGTAATCAATTATGATAGTATCTCCTAATTATACAATGATTTGTCAACTATATAAAATAACAAAGTAAATCCCTTAATTAATCAAGGAAATACATCTCATTGATTAATTAGGAAGGCTCGCGTCAACATTTCCTGTAAAAATGAGGGTTGTTTTTTAGTGACCCTCTCAAAACTACATTGTGCACTTATCGTTTGCTTATATTGTAATAGGTGCATTAATAACACCATATGATGGTGGCATTATGTTCGCATAGAAAAATTTCTTGTAAAGATGCTACAAATCTTGACTTCACATATCATCACGCCTTCTACTTGAGTTTTTTTTTTTTTTTAATTTTTTTTTTAAAATGTGAAATGTACGGTTGTATAAATTTGTCTATATTTCAACAAACTGTCTTTTGATGGTTCCCTATGGATATGGTTTTACCTCTTTTAGCCATTCAAGGCAATGTGTCTTTTTTCGGTGGTCGTTCTCTCGTTAGCAAGGAGAGCCTTGCTCTCTCTAAGTTTTTCTAATTCCACGTCTAGCCGTCATCGTCCCTCATCATCTTCACTCTGTCTATCGCTAGCATAATTTGTCGTCACCCTATTGCAATTGCTCGGCTTTACTGTTTTGACAGATGGCGCCTATCGCTAAGCGGGTCCTTTTTTTAATATATAAATAGTATAGCCGTGCAGCCATACCCTTTCTTTTTTATCTTTTTTTTTCTTCAAAAAATAGTGCGGCCGAACGGCTATACTCATTTTTAGAAATTTTAAAAAAATAGTATAGCCGCATGGCTTTACTGCGGCTATACTCGTTATATTTGAGGCAATTTCATCCAAATTACCATAAACCAAGAACAAAACTTTTCACAATTAGCATCGAAATAAAGTTAAGGATCTATTTGGCTGCCGAGAAAGTTGTAGTTCTAAACATTATTAGATTTTAAAACAACAATTTGGTATTACTGAGATGGGTGTTTTACATTTTTCATAAAGCAAAAAAAATCATAAATCAAAGGGCACAAAACTGCACTTTGTTTTGTTTAATTGGGGATTAGTGTTCTTCCATTTTCACAGCAACCAAGCGTAGCTGGTTTTGATATACAAAATAATCACAAATCACAAATAGTTGGAGTATTTTGGCACAGATAGAGTTACCAAATGAGGAACTTGATTACTCTGCATATTTTCTCGAGGTGGGCTGCAAACTTCATTTTCTTTTTCTAGTTTGCTTTTCAAGTTTTCAGGGAAATGGGGACGATGGGCTTCGAGAGGGAAAAGGTTAGGACCAAATTGCCCTCAAATTAGGTTACACGTGCACCTCATGTCTGATTTTTAACAGCAATTTGGATTAAATTGACTTAAATCTAACGGTTGGTCTAAAATTCGCAATATAAATTAGTTCGGGTGCTAAGAGCATTTCCACCCATTTGCCATGGCAAAAGGTAAGAGGAGGCAAGGGTTGGTACTATTCACCCATTTGTAAAATGACTTATAAGGACTTCTAAGGACCAAAATATTAATACAAAAGTAGCTAGGCTAAGTTTTCCTACCCATTCAAGAAGATAAATCTTCTTAGGATCCAAGTTCTTGTTAGAATTTGGTCTCCCGCTGAGGATCTCCAAAGCAACAACCCCGAAACCAAAAACATCAGCCTTTTCTGTCAGATGTCCACGCATTGCATACTCCGGCGTCAAATAGCCTCTACAAGATTATCAAATGTTTACTAAAAATGCTGCGTGGATTACACCCTCCCTAGTCATGATTACATTGTATAACTTAAATGAGGGCTTACATTGTGCCTGCAACCCGGGTGCTCATGTGTGTTTTCTCGTCATCACAAAGCTTTGCCCATCCAAAATCCGATATTCTTGGGGAGAGTTCTGCATCCAGCAAAATATTACTTGCTTTGACATCTCGATGTATAATTCTGGGCGTTGACTCCTCATGAAGGTAAGCAAGTCCTCTTGCTGTTCCCAACAATATATTGAAGCGTGTAGGCCAGTTAAGGTGCAAGTCATTTCTTCCTGAAACAGTACATGGAAAACAACCAATGAATGTTAACAACTAATAACAAGTAGAAGAGAAAAAGAAAAAGAAATTGGATGTAACCTTAGAGTACTTTAAACTGCAGAGTATTCTGTTTTTATGCAAAATAGAAGGCAAAGTAGCAAAAGAATGTGCAGGTTTTTTATTTCATATGACTCGAATATTACTCTTTTGGTTTCTTTAATCTTCACTCCTCAGCAGAGAAAAATTATAACAAAATGGTTGTGTAAAAAACTTGGATAAACTTTTAGAGTCCTTGATACTGCAGAGTATTCTGTTTCTATAAAACCTACCAAAAAGTGCATGATAAAGGCTCTTGTTTTCAAGATACTCATAAACCAAAATGTGGTGGCTTCCTTCAATGCAGCATCCATAGAATTTCACTAGATTGCGATGTTGGACTTCAGATATCATAGGAATCTCGGTAACAAATTGACTCTTCCCTTGGTGAGATGCTACTGAAAGTTGCTTCACAGCCACTACCCTCCCATCAGAAAGTGTACCCTACAAACAGAAATACAATTCAGTGACATGAAAGGGAAGTAGAAAGAATCTATTTTGATTCTCTCTCAATTTATTTTTGTAAGAAGTCAAAGTCTTACTTTAAAGTAGCAGATATTGATGTAAAATAGATTTCACCTTATAAACAGGTCAATATCCTCCCTCTCCTAGCCTATTTGAAGGATTAAAATCTTCTGTTGCAGCGCTCAACTCAGCATAACTGAAAGTATTTGGTCGGGGACCTAATCCTAGAAGATCTGCATGTTCAAAAGAGAGTATGACATAGGTTTAAATTTTGAAACAACACATCGGAAGTATTTTCTCTCAAATATGCTTATCAACACTAGAAAGAACCTAGAACCGCATGCAGAATTAACCCTTAATAATATGCTCATTGTTCTTTTACCTTCATCGTCATCTTTTTCTGATGTTTTTCTCCGCGTATATAAAATTGCAAATAATAATAGCAAGATCACTACTCCGACAGGGACTGCAATACTAACTATCAACCCAGTCCTGCTCTTCTTTCCTGGAGTAGATGGTGTAAGATCTGAGCAATGAACAGAATAATTGTTCAGTGTGTCAATCAATTGACAGCAGATAAATACATTTAAACCATTCATAGGAAATATTCATAACTTGACATTATATTATATAACTGAAGCAGCGTGGACAGCCGATATTAGCGGGCCGTAATTACCTTGTTCATGTATGCAACATGTTCCCTTACCAGCCCAGAACAGATGAATATCTAGGTAATTCTCGGTCACATTAACCTTGAAGGGTCTTGGAACTGCTCTGTTAACCCCACCTACCTCCTTTGAAGTCCTTCATTCTGAGGTTCCCCTAGGAAACAAATGAAGAGATAGTTAAATAATTCTGCCTAATGAGGTTGCCTTAACTTTAAATAGCTTAAGTTTTTTTTTCCTTTATTAGTAGCCTTACTTGAATATAGATATCAAATACACGCCTTCCTAGACTTTTGTGAAGTTTGTGTATCGCTGCTAGCAAAAACCGTTTCTGCAAATTGCAAATGTTACAGTATAAGGTCCATTCTGAAGACCCAGGCCATAGTATCTCAGTGAATCTAGGGACACTCTTGAAGTCTCGAAAAGCTCTGGTGTCAAATCTGCACCGGAGACTTGCGTAAGGGTGGTTTCCACAAATGATTGATTCAAATTCTGAGAAAAACCTGCATTGCTAACAGCCCATTTCTGTGTACTGGTTACATTAAATGTTGCTGGGCCAAGAGTCTTCAGCCTCCTACAATATGCCAT